TCGGCTCAGTAGATCGGGAGGTGAGCGAACACATACCGGGTTCCCTCACCTCTCGATCCTGCCACGGCTCTCTGTCGTGACAGGGGGAGGGGCTGGATTCCCCTCTCCCCGCTCCGATCTGCCAGCGCTGACTGGCGGAACGGACGGGGGAGGGGGCGGGTACAGCTGGCTCTGCCTCTAAATAGGCAGAGCCAGCTGTCACTCACGCACTGGGCGGATTCCGTCATCTCCGTCGGGATCCGCTCAAGGTGCGACGTCTCAGTATACCGCGAGCTGTAGCTCGTGGTATACTGAGCTTAGGGTAACGGGAGGATGCTAGTTTGTGTCCTCCCGTTACCCTAAGGAGAACTTTGGGGAAAAACACTGACCCCATAGTTCTCCTTTAAATGCTTTCGCTTGAGTTGAGCTTTAAAGGGATCTTTATGAGTTAGGTTACATTTTAAGATTTCACATTGGGGAGGGTTAAGTGTGAGGAGGTGCTTTTGAGTTTTGGATACCTTGTGTCATGAAGCCAGAGTCAGCCTGTGTGGCCGGAGTTCTGGACGGGCACCTACACATGCACGTGCGCATGCGCATCATCCTGCACAGGGGATTGTGCGCTGTTGCGTGCCTCTGCGTGGGTATGCATGCGTCCGTGTGTGCGACGTGCGCGCACTCATTCCTAATGATAGCGCCAATAGGGCTATTTGAGGCTGAGACACCTTGACCTCCCTGCTGACTGATCTTACCCTGTCCCTTGTTCCTGAAAACCAGTATAGTTGATCCGACCACCTGTTACCGACCCGGCTTGTTTGACCTCTGCTCCTGCTCCATACACCTTGACCTCGGCTTGTTCTGGACTTACTCTTTTGCCTGTTCCTTTGTACTTCGCTGTCTGCAAGTTACTGACCTGGCCTGCCTCTGATTACGTCTCCTGATTGTGTACATCACTGCCTGATTGTCTCTACTCTGCTTCCAGGAGCTGCGTTTACACCTGCATCCTGCTAGAAGACCCCTGCAACCTGCACACAGCTCTGATAGGAATCTACAACAACCGGCACTTGTGCCTCTCCCTGTCCTCACGCACCTGTTCCCACATCTCCAGGGGTCAAATAGAGAGTCCCACTGCACTCCTGACCGAGAAGCCCCATACAATGTGTGTGTGTGTGGGGGGTGCTGAAGTGGCCGCAGATGGTGCCGCCAAATACTTTCAAAACAGAAAAATGGTTCTTCAAAACGAAATCCTTGTATTCATTCTCACAGGTCATATCACCATGCGTGGCAACGTTTCGGAACCTGTCCGGTCCCATCAGGCAAACAAAAGTGACTTTCCAGGGGTGTCTGGACTGGAGCCACTATCCAGGGGTGTCTGGCCTGGAGCAGCAAGAGAGGCCGCCCTCGTCAGCTCAGGCTCCCTTAAGGTATGTGACACCTTGCAACCCTGTGAAAAGTGGGGAAACGTTGGGTTTTGACTCAGTGAAGTGGTGGAAGTCATATTCATGTACATTTACTGAATGGTCCCACGTAAAATAAGATATTTATTTATGCAGATTAGTTCATTAGCCATGGATCATGGGTATTACAAATCAAAATTATTTTTACATGTGCTTGTTTCTAATTAATGTTAACCACATTACCAGACTTTACAAGTCATACACCGGTTTTCAGTCTTGTACATGTGATTTACACCCTTTATTTATTACCCCCTCATGATCTAGCACATCGTGAAATACTTTGCATGGCAATGTTTTGTCAAATGCTAATATATACAGCCATGTCTCAGAGCACGCACTAATAATAATTTAGCACCGCACCATTAATAAGCAGTAAGACGTCATGTTCATTGATCTCCCGGGGAAACAGCACTTTAAATGGCAGAAGATCTCCGTAAAGTCTTCTCATGGCCAGAGAGGTGAGTCACCGGCATCTGATGAAGATAAACTCAGCTCCTGGGTAATGCTGTTACACATTATTCTCTGGAGTTCTTCTAGATGCTTTATCACAGAGTTCTAATGTCGCGGTGACATAAAGCAGATGCCTCTGGTGCTACTTTCAATATGTCTGGATAATCATCTCTAGCCAGCTCATTCCTCTTATGTCTGTCTAAGCTTCTGTTTTGTCTGTATGCACAGGGCAGGCCTTAGGGCATACACTATATGGCCAACATTTTGTGGAAACCTGACCATTACACCTATATGAGCTTGTTGGATGGCATATTGCAAAACCATGGGCATTATAACCAGGCCCGGATTTCCCACAAGGCCACCGAGGCCCGGCCTCGGGGCGGCAGCGGTGACCTTGTGGGGAAGTTGCGGGCGCCGGTGTAAGGTGTCCACGACGGGGCGGCCCGAGGCTCCGCCCACCGGCTCCGTAGTGTGCGGCCGTCGGCCAATCACGGCGCGGCGGGCCGCAACTCCTCCCCCAGGCTGTCAGATACTTCCTCCGGCGTCCTGTTAATGTGGATTGACGCCGGAGGAAGTAG